TCTCACTGTGTTATACAGTAATTTATACTGATGAACACGTTGCGAACACAATTTATTACTCCTCATAACCATATCAAGTTACCCCTACAACTTTAGAACTTCGTTTATATGGTTCCATTATTTCTCATCTCTTGATTTCATTGGTAGTAGTATTTTTCATATCCTTGGTATGAGTGATGAGTCACTTCTATTGCATGTGTTGGGTGTGGACTCGATGAACAGAGATTCGGTAACCGAACTCTCTCTCCAACTAACTATATTACTTCTTAGAATTCTGACCCTCTCCCACCCTATTGTTTGGTTGTGTGTTAATGCATGTGGAGCGATTGCTGAGCTTTTTACCAAATTTTTTATCTTCTCGGGGCTAACCATTCTTACCTTAGCTGAATTCTTATCTTCCGACAACCTAACTACCCTCGACCTACTAGTTTGATCTATGTAGTTGATCTAGCTCACAGTCATTTCAAGGTATTTTGTAAATTATATTGTTTTGTCTAATTGGGTCAACCGACAGGGTCCTTTAGCCCACAGAGCTTGTCTCTGAGTGAGTCTGTAGGTTTGAATGTCACCCTAATTCCTGCTTTATTAAGAATCCTGCGTAGAGTCTCAAATATCCCCTCCTTACTTGGTAAAAGTATACTCGAAAAGTCATCAGTAAATATTATTCTATAACACTGTGAGACTTTATAAAATTAAATTTTACTCATAGGGTAAAGATTACATTGAAATTGAAATTATTCTTATTCTGCTCTTTCTATTTTCATTCCATGCTGCCTAAATTATTTCGCAAAGATCTTTCATTTCTCCTCTTTGTCACAACTGGAGATTCTTTGGGGAGACATCATACACAGTATACTAATAATTCTTGTCAGTAGCATACGTTTCAGTACCCTGTGATAAAGATGCATGAAAATAATCGCCAAAATTTGAAGTTTATGGTTTAAATCATTATATATATACATCGGTTAACAAATGATGAGGGAGTTTATGGTATATATTTTGCTGTTGAATTAAAGACAGCAGTCAGAAATTAAGAAAATCATCAATCTACCATGGTGCAACTTTGCGTAACTGTTAAAATTCACGTTTAATAAAAATCTTATTCATTCTCATATGTGTGTGCAGTTTTAGCATACGATAGCTAGGTAAAATAAACAGGAAAACATCAGAAAACTGAAATATTCAGCAAATTCTAGTGGAAACTTACCGTCTTCTTCAGCTTAGACCTTAATACTTCAATTGTCTAAGATATTCACAACTTACTAGTGGTATATTTTTTTTGGAGAATACCAACGATTTGTCTTATATCGACGTAGAAGTTATAAATTTCCTCACAGCAGAACACAATGGCTACTCCACTATAACAGATACACAATAGTATTCAGAGAAAGTTATTACTAAATATAAAAACGGAATTGGTGCATCAGAAGCACCAAGAGATGAGCAAAAAATAATCACTGTGGGTGTTCAACTCCTGGGATACTGAACAGACTGAAGCAGATGGTTGTCTTAAGCGGCCACTTCTGGACATTTGAATTCACATTTGATCAGCAAGGCAGTGGGATAGAGTTTGCAGCTACGTTCTCATGATTGACGAGGAGAAAAACAGATTCACACGCCATTCATTCCCTCCAGATTCTTATCACCACTGGTTTGGAATCAGGTTTTTCCAACCCCTCTAGGTAGACCTATCTGTCTACCGTTTTGGTCTTAACCGGTAGAAGTTTGCATTCACGCTTTTACTTTTGTGAGGAAAATTCCGTCGACTAAGGTTAGTGGACGGGATTTACCTGGAACAGGCTATGAATGCGTGGCCGATTGAGGGCAGTTTGAGAGGAAGACCGAAGTCGACTCAATCTCCGCCCTACATGGTAATTTATGGGGGTTTTATTGGAAGTAATACATTTGAGTGATTGAACCATAAAGACGTATCTTGAAGAGGAGAAGAATAAAAATTCTAACGTCTTTTTATAATTAGAAAATATTGAGGTGATATAAATGTGGTATTCGAACGAAGCCGTTATATTTTCAAATTTATCTATGTGAATTTGATCTGGAAAAGACGGTAACGGTGCTACACATATTTTGACATTCATTTTAATGATAATCGGTAATTATTTTGATCTCAAGCAAGCAGACGCTTTCAGAATAGGCGCTATCACTGCTATGTCATGGTTCATGTTACCACAGCTGATCTTTACTCATGAATTATGCAGTAATACAAAGTGGAAGTGGAAAAATAAAAGTTATGAAAGCAAACGCTTTCTAATTATACAAGACACAGTTACGATTGGGGAGTGGGCAGCATATGAGGGGAATATGTGCCAGCGAGAATAAGTTAATGATTTTGGTTTATTCATCTGATGTCAGGCTGAGCTTTCATGTACGGCTCACATTAGTGATTATTGAATTTATAGATTGTCAACATATCTTGATCTGCCAATCCTTAGGTTTCGTACAGCTCCCTTTTACTTCGTACAACATTGAATGTTCGGCTAACTGATGCATTAGCTAGTGTCAAACATGCTGTAGTCACTTCAAATGAAGGTGGCTTGTGATGTCTGTTTAACTCTAAGTTAACATAAATGTTCCATCCTTTCCAGGTGATGTTAGGAAAGGTGTAGCAATTGAGACCCCAGGTGTTTTTAGTGGTCATGTCTTAGAGTTATTTGCCAACAGAGTTTACTGCTATGCAGTGTCGTTACTTCTAAATGGGGATGACAAAGATCCTACATCTAAAAAGAGGGATGCTTTTTGTTGTCAAATGACAACTTAGTACACTGATAATGCTAACTCTTACGATTGTGGTATGGACGACTCACTAGGCCACTTTCTATTTTCACTCATTTCACTAAATGGTGTTTCTGTGTAGGAATACTTAAGCCATACACATACACGCAAGTGAATGGCCAGTTAACACAGTAAACTGAAACTAATCTGATTTCAATTGTTACGATGCTGCATTACTGCAAAAATCTCTGTGAATTTAACAAAATTTTTCTTATGACTAGTAAAGACATAATTTTCCTTGAACGACTTATTCACAATTTTTCAGGTTAATATTTTCACAAATAAGCAGGCTTCACACTATGTAGCTTGTGATATTCTTCAATATTATCTCTTTAAAGTATCAGTTTATCTCATAACTTGTAGCACATTATCACTGTCTTTCCTAATCAGCTCATCTTCTCTCTCTCTCTCCTGAAAATGTATTTTTGCACACATTCTGTTTTAAGATCTCCACGTCCTCTACGCTGAAAGCTAACATTCTACTAAATTACTCTTTTCAGTAGAAGAATACCCAGAACTTCATATGAAGTGCTGACAGGATCTACTGAACAGGATCAAGGCATCGCCTGGATTTTGTATTTATCACCAAAAATACTGAACACTACTGATAAGTCTCTATCAGCACTTGAAAAACATAATTCTCAGGTGAATTCAGACTCATGCTAGAAAATTACTTATTACAAACTGTAAATCCCAATCTAGTTTGGCTTATTATCTGTCGCTTTATTAGGCCTACGAGTTCCCTGTAGCTAACAAACAATATTTTGTGACAATAAGGTCTTTCAAAATGATGATGCTTTCAACACTTCCTTCAGTTGATTAAAAATGCCCATTATAATTCTCAAAAGAATGGTTACTGAGCAATAATTACTTCATTATCAAGTTCTACAGTTATATATGCATAGTAGTGAATGAATTAGTTATATTAACAACATTAATGTTGTTTAAATAACATAGAATTAATTATAATAATGATATCAATGGATTACAGTTCAATAGCATCAATAACATAACGATACACTGAATATCAGAAAAGCAGATTAAGAAAGATAATATTACAAATTCATGAATTTATAGTCTCTACTGAAGGCCAGTCTAAGAAGTAGTAGTGGCTGGAGTTGCTTCTCCTGCCCACAAAGCATTGGTTATTTAAGGCGAATCGTGGTAGCCTCTGCTGTTTCGAGCATGCAGTATCTCGATGTTTTTATCAATTGATTCAGTACCCGGTAGATGATAGAGAGGGATTCTTCAATCCTGGCTGACTTTGTGACCGGTTTGGACTAGGTGGTCTAATATCGAACTGTTGATTGTTTTTACCAGACCCTTACTTAGCCGTACTGGAAGTTGTTCTCGAACACCAGAAATCAGGTTCCTAGAACAGCGGCCAAAATAACTCGCTCCACAGGCGTAGTTGAATTAGTAGATGCATTCAGAAGTGGCCAGTGTAGACCAGATACTTTAACTTTCAATTAAGGAATAATCGTCGGCCGTGTAGAAAATATGGCGTGTAGTTTGCCAGCATTGAAAGTCCTTTGAACTGATTTTCTTAATTTCTTCGTAATTATTTCACCCTTGAATTGCAGTAGTATGAATAAAGGCTTGTTTACAGATAGTGAGTTGTCCTTTTTCGCTTTCTTTCTCATGTGTTTCTTGATAAATCTGTCAAGATAGCTATTTTCAATCAAGGTATCATATACAATGCTTAGCTCATCCTCACTTACTTCTTCTGAGCATATAGCTCTAACCCTGTGGCCGAGGGTATTTACTAAATTCTTTTTGTACTTTAGAGGAACGAAGCTGCCATGGCCGGCGTCTAGTGGAGACTATAAATTCATGAATTTGTATTATTAACTTTTCTAATTTGCCCGTCTGACATTCACTTTATTGTTATGTTGATGCTATGGAACTGTAATCCATTGATATCATTATTATAATTGATTCTATGTTATTTAAACAGTATTAATGTTGTTTATAGAAGCAATTCATTCACTACTATGCATATATAACTGTAGAACCTGATGATGAAGTTATCTTTGTTCAGTAAGAATTCTTTTGAAAATTCCTTCAGATCTATAAAACTAACTGTTAACCCCTAGTTTTAAAGCAATAAGAAATTAAAATACTATATAATACAAAGAGTATTCAGAAAGACACTTACCTTTCAGGCCTTGAAACTCGCTCATGAAACGAAAATAAAAAGAAACAGCCACTGAAATGATAATATTTATTGAAGAGAAGTAAAGAAACAAATAAAAAAAACAAATTATTTATTAGTGTTTTTTTGATAGCTGGACTTCAGTTTGACTAAATGAGATCAAGAACATATTTTTGGTAGAGAATACAAAGCACTAGGTTGAATTTCTTCCATGTTCAATACAAATATAATGTTTTACTCCTTGTTGAAGTTTCGATTTTATGCATATTTCTGGTTGTATCAGCTCTTTATTTCTGCTCATGTGAATATCATGATCACTTTTATCATAGGTGTTTTTTCTCCGTGAAGGTGGTGGAGATGTATTTCTAGGTGCAATCATAGGTGATTTTATTGGTTCTTGCCAATTCACTTTTTGTGGACTGAAAGAATTCGCTGATTTATATCGTCGAAGACTTCGACAATTTTCAAAGTTTTCATTACATGAGAGATTTGAATGTGAACTAGCTTGAGTACTTAAAGAATATTGTCTTTCTAGTTGGTCATTAGTTAAAGTTTGAAAGCATTTATCTTCAGTTGTTGGAAGTTTTGACAATGAAACATATCGGATTATTTGTATTGGACGATTATCAGGTTGTTTAGAACTTTGTTGATTTGGTGAATAGTCATTAATTGACCTTAACACTGGTCTATTGACAGTTGGATTGATAGTTGAAGAACGATAGTCATTTTCATCATTATAACTTCTGTTAGATACTGGTAGCATTTTTTTACCCTCACTAAGGGAATCGTTGATTGAACTGTCATGATTTGGAAATGATTCAATGCATATATTCCACCGCTAAGAAGGAAATAAATAGTGAATTATTATGGATAAAAGAAATAATCGCTTACATTGCTCATTTTTTTTTTTGATTAAGTGTTTAACAGGCAAAATGCAGTAGTGTAACTGTCCTAATTATCTAATAAACTACTTATATATATTAATGGAGGTTGAAGAAACACGCACATGTGAATTACCGCAAACTCAAATTAAAAAAAACAGTAACATGTGATGACACGTAAACCTGACAGTGTGTTCTTTAAATGTACTATTAGTTTATCTACATATTTTTGATATTTCTCTTTATGTGATACTTCCATAGTGTGAATAAATTTCGTTTCTCCTTTCTCAATATAGTTAAAATAAGGTTTACTGTTAAATGGACTATCATTTGGCATATAGTTTTGTAGGACTGTAGAATGTGGTCAGACATATCACACTTAACATAATACATACACAATACATACTACTGAGAATTTATAAGTAGTGCATTAAATGTGATGTCTTCTGTGAGAATAATGAGGAAACTACCAGCAATAAGCCATCCGTGAAACCACAATGAAATTTATCTTACCTCATGTGAGGTGTGTCGGTGGTTCACCGGTCGGACGCACACCAAACATATAAGTCGTCCGACGTTCGATCTTCGGTTGACGTACTTCTTGACGTCACTAAGCCGGTAGTTAGCCCGGTAAAGAAGGAAAGTTGGGTGTGAGACTAGTACCCCGGCTGTAAAAACAGAACCACTGCTACTGGAAATTCAGAGCCCGAGCCTGAGGTGCAATATTCCACTCGGAACGTGAAAGGATAAAATATATATATATATGCATATATATATATATATATTTCAGGAATGTTTCTTAAGTAACAATTTAATAATTCGCATCGCGACACTTAAGAACACAGCATTCAGCCGAGAGACTCTTTTGAATGAATTTGTTACCAAGCTGTACAGTCGCGTATGTGTGCTCTTTAAAAAAATTTTATCCAGTGATGGAATTGAAACGAAGATATGAATACATGAAATGTGATTAAAATACATGTGACTTTAATCATAGTTACCGACAAACTGGTCGAAGAAGCAGGTAGTGAAGACAAAACTCCAGGTGAACATAGACAAGACGGAGGTTATGAAAATAACCAACCAACCAACAACAACAACACCAACGACAACATCCAGCGCCAATCACCATCAACAAAAGGGATTTGAAAGAGGTCACTTCATTCACTCACTTATCTAGGAAGCATTGTCTCAACTACAGACAGTCGGAACGGACGAGGATGTCAAATCGAGCGAGAATCGGGAAGGCGAGCGAGAAACACATTCATCAACCTGAAACCAATCTGGAATGAAATCTTCGTCACTCAGCCAGCATCAACAACAAAATTCGGTCGGATTTTCAATACAAACAAGGTCAAGTCAGTCAGTTCTTCTATATGGATGAGAAACTTGGCAGGCGGGTCACAAAGAATATTTCCAACAGCCTGTTGCAGACGTTGCCTTTATCAACAGCTGTCTTCGCTGGCTCTATACTGAAGATCTGATGAGACGGCCGGGCCGGAAAGAATCACCAACAAGAAACTATGGCTTGGAACAAACAAACAAGATAAGAAGCAATCGCCAACCAAGAAATATGCAGGAGAAAGTGGATGGAGATGGATTGGACACACACACTCGCTGAGGAGGCCGCCGCTGGGTGACATCGCGTGTGCGTCAGGCCATTGCTCGAGTGGAACCAGGCCGAAAGAGAAGCGGCGAGTGGGACGTCAGTGAAAGGGTGACATGGAGGAGATGGTGTGAAGACGACTAACGCGGATGAAGGTGAAAAGTAGAGCAGAAAGATGACAGAAGCAATTGGAGACGTCCAGTTGAAGCCGTATGTTCCACTAGGAACCTAAGGGAACAATAATAAATAATAATGATCATAGTTAAATATCAAGTATAGAAACAATTAGTGTCATATGTAGAATAATTCATAAGGTGTACAGATTCTGGAAAGGAGTGTATAATCATAGGGTTGGTAGGCCAATAGAAAACTTTACAAAACATGGTGTGAAATTTGATAAGATAGAATTCGATATTATAAAATATTTTGGATTTAGAGTGAAAGCTGGTACAAGTGGAAACAATTCAAATTGAGAGTAGTAAGAATAATAATAATCGTAGTAGTGAGGGAAAAGTACATAGATTAACTAAATAAATAAATATCTGTCCCTCTACAGCCAATCCAGAAGTAGGGATTGTACATACTTCTTTTGTACACAAAGGTCTTCCTTAAATTCATGAACTTGGAATTCAAAGGTGATCAAGCTGCAGATATGCTCAAAACCGTCTCTCTAAAGCAGTCAGTAAGACGTCCTTTGCAGCAAAATTACAAATGACGTTCACTAGCCGCAAGTTTTTCGTCATTTCTGTAAAGATAAGCTCCCATCGCCGTCTGACCACCTCCAAGTTCATCTATTAGTTCATCTGCTCTTTGACAGAAAGATACACTGATTGCAGCCATAGAACGCTTTCCACACGGATACGAGAACATATTCCAGCATGGTTTTACAATGAAGAAAGGAAGGGTGTGCGAAGCTCTACTCTAGAACATTAGATCGACTCCTGTCACTCTACCCTCACCTATCGAATCCATGTAAACTTGCCGCGTTTTCGTCGTTATAGCATTCTAAAGACAGCGGAGTTCCTAGCCATTCATGAATTTAAGGAAGACCTTTGTGTACAAAAGAAGTATGTACAATCCCTACTTCTGGATTGGCTGTAGAGGGACAGATATTTATTTATTTAGTTAATCTATGTACTTTTCCCTCACTACTACGATTATTATTATTCTTACTACTCTCAATTTGAATTGTTTCCACTTGTACCAGCTTTCACTCTAAATCCAAAATATTTTATAATATCGAATTCTATCTTATCAAATTTCACACCATGTTTTGTAAAGTTTTCTATTGGCCTACCAACCCTATGATTATACACTCCTTTCCAGAATCTGTACACCTTATGAATTATTCTACATATGACACTAATTGTTTCTATACTTGATATTTAACTATGATTATAATCACAGGTATTTCAAGTAGCAGCTAGAATACTGTAACTAATCGAAATATCTTTTGTGTACAGACTAATACAATCACTTCATTCATTACTATGCAGACCAAAATAGTCAACAGAAAAAGAAGATAAGATCAACACCCTTTACGAAATAAATTGTATTGATAGAGAAGATTTGCAGCTCAAGTGGATGATTTTGAGGTGGTTGTGTTCTCTGGATTGGATAGTTAATTTGCAAAGCTTTCATCGCCCTACTAGGCGACATCTTCAGCACATACTTCAATTTGAAGATTGATTGATTGTGAAAAGTACTACATAGGTTAGAGTGGATTTCCCCTTCATTTTCGAATCCAAGGTCATATACTAGTTGTTTATAAACACAACATGTAAAACTCCGTATCAGTGTATGGAGATAGCTGTGAAAATTTTAAAAATTGCATCTAAGAAGAATGCGTGAGAACTCATAGAATTCTGGTAATCAGATCAGTCTTCACTGAACAGACATTGACATTGATCAGATTCATCAACCAATGAATAAAGATCAAGTTTTTTGGCAAAAATAATAAAAAAAAAGTCAAATTCCAGGTTAACGCAACTGTGGATACCAAAAATAAATTGACTTAAGGATAATAAAACATCTAAAGGCAATCAACCACAACTTAGATCGTCAGGAGAAACAGTTATCACTCACAGAGAGTTCCGAATGACTGTACACTGAAGTAGTCGCCTAAGACATTTTTTGGAAGGACAATGAAAGCTTGACAATTGGAAAATTCGGTTAATAAAACACAACTACATCAAAAACACACACACAACTGAGGTACAAAGTTTCTTCATTATTTCAAATGTTACTGTCCTTTTGAAATCAATTTCAATAAGTTACATTGTTTAGTATTACTCAACCGATATATCTAACTTGATTTGTACTTCAGAGTAAATAAACGGGAGGATGCACAGACGACGAGTTAGCTGTATATCGTGAACTTATTTGATAGCTCATATTATTCTTTTTATTACTTATCGAGTGAAACATAGGGCTTCAGCAACACTTCTCCACTACACTCTGTTCTCTGCAGTCACTCTGAACTGGCTGCAGGGTTACACACAAGCTTAAACTTCCTCTTCACCCTGGTAGGCATGTTTAACTAGCCGCTTTCTATTCCAGTTCCTTTCGCCGACCTGGTATGTGATATCAGTCTAATGTCTCCTCAGTGTATATCCACTACATCTCCAATTTCTTCTGAGTATTTTTTGGGTAATAGGTTGCTTGTTGATCCACCAAAGCCATAGAGTTTCTTGTTACTTACCCTTTCAGATCGTTCACCTGATATTCAATATCAAATGAGTGCAGGTGTTGATGAAAATCTGTAGCCTAGTTGAAATGCTTTTGATGACACGCTCCAAGTGTCTGAAGCACATAGAGGCACTGACTAACCTGACATCATTGCTGAAAGTTAGAGTGTTGTCTTTCGTGCCGAGTACAGTGAACCTCCATGCTGATTTTAGAGTAATGAATGCTTACCTCGCCTTCACGATCCTAGCCTTCGCATCACCGTCCTTGCCGTCTGTATTTGAAACGATACTGTTCTCGAAGTCCTGAATCATAAGGTGGCTGTCTTCCTATTTTACGGGTAGGAAACAACATACTGTTTTCAAATCACGGAAAATACCCATTGATTCATGAAGAAAATAAAAGACAGATTCAGCGAAGAAAATTTTCTTTATCGACGAAATCATCTTCAGAGTCTGGCTGTACAGTCGTATTCATATTTACCAAAAATGTATAGTAGTGCATTATTGAGTAATAGGAGGGTGACACAATTGATGTAATTAGTCATAAGTGGCTTTAGAAGTGAAAGTTAAAAGTTGTAAATTACATGGTACTCAACGGAAAAAAGATAGAAGTTAGAAAAGGCTAAAATTGCTCTTGAGTGAGAATAAAGTTATTAGAGTGTCAATTTAACAAGTGTGAAGAGGGTGTGAAAATATACAAAAGGAGTATATGAAACTGATAATAGTAAATTAATTATTAAAGCAAAAGCAAACTAAAAGTAAAATTAAAGATTAAGAACAAAAGAAAAAATCAAAAATATTTTACGGGGAACGATAAGTGAAGAGGTTAAGACCAAGGTAGAATAAGAGACTGGACAAACTTTTTCTGTATACAGAGTTCAGGGTTGTATTGATGTATTGCCAGCGCCTCCGCCATACACAAAACCCAAAACCTGATGCCTTTTGTATAAATTGGCTTCACTTTGTAGATGATGTTGAAAGACGACTCTGGTGGAGCTACGTGGCCTGAGTTCACCAAATGCTCGAGAATTGAGCTAGTAATTGTCTTGCATTGTTCCTTTGCTAACTATGCCGGATAATGTCCAGAGATGCGTTTAAAAAACGAGCGCTTTGTGCGGCCAATATAACTAGCTTCACACGAGCAGGTGAATTTATAAACACACATTGAGATGGCCCAAAGCGGCAGTTTATCCTTCACACATCCGTTGATCATTTGTCGGCTGTAGAACTTGATACGTAGCTCAGCCATAAAGAAGGCTTTCCTCAGTGATCTGAATAAGCGATTCTTCAAAATCTCAGCTACAGTGTCACCTTTAAATTCAACACTCATAAAGAGCAGTTTCTTCGGCACAGTCTGGATTCTTTCAGGCTTTTCTCTTAACTTCATGTTTTTCTCGATACATCTTGGAGGATATCCATTATCTATGAGAACTTGTCTGAGTCGCTCCAATTCCCCATCGATTGTATTACTTGAACATATCCTCCTTATTCTTGAAGATAAGGAATGGATCAGATTTCTCTTTCTTCTTAAAGGGACCCAGCTATGGAAATTTGTGTACTGACCATTCCATGTTGGTCTTCTGTAGATCGATCTTTAAAGAGAGCCATCCGATCTCCTCTTCAGAAAAACATCCAAAAAATGGAATTCCGAGTTAATCTCTGATTCCGACGTGAATTTGATAGCATGATGGCGGCTGTTGAACTCCTTAGTTATCAATTCGATGTCAGTATTGTCGTCACATATGATGAAAGTATCATCCATGTATCTTTGGTAGAGATGGAAACTGCCGATAGTAGGCCGTAAAATACTATTCTCCAAACTGGCCAAGAAGCAGTCTGCAAGTAAAGGACCCAATGGTGACCCCATTGCTACCCCATCTCTTTCTCTATAAATCGTGTTGTTGAACTTGAATTGGACATTTAGAGTGCACCTCAAAAGTCTTAACCTCTTCACTTATCGTTCCCTGTAAAATATTTTTGATTTTTTCTTTTGTTCTTAATCTTTAATTTTACTTTTAGTTTGCTTTTGCTTTAATAATTAATTTACTATTATCAGTTTCATATGCTCCTTTTGTATATTTTCACACCCTCTTCACACTTGTTAAATTGACACTCTAATAACTTTATTCTCACTCAAGAGCAGTTTTAACCTTTTCTAACTTCTATCTTTTTTCCGTTGAGTACCATGTAATTTACAACTTTTAACTTTCACTTCTAAAGCCACTTATGACTAATTACATCAATTGTGTCACCCTCCTATTACTCAATAATGCACTACTATACATTTTTGGTAAATATGAATACGACTGTACAGCCAGACTCTGAAGATGATTTCGTCGATAAAGAAAATTTTCTTCGCTGAATCTGTCTTTTATTTTCTTCAATACTGTTTTCAATGGAAAGCACTCTACTTCGTCGCTAACGGAAACTGGTGTGCCCCAAGGAGCTATACGCTCTCCATTCTTTGTGCATGGCCTTCCATAGTCTTCCAAAACTAACTTCATTAAATATTCCAATGATCTAACCATTTCTGTCTCCAGCAGTTTCTGCTTTGAATTGTTCTTATATGAATAAATTCTTGTCTGAAGTTAACAAATGGTCTTAAACTAAATCCATCTAAATAGCATACTGTGGATTTTAGTTTCAGATGACAAGAAGACTTGCGTAAACCGATTCAGTCGCATGATTTTTGTAAAACTGACAGCACTGTAGCAGGGAGTAAATCGAATATCTCTCATGTTGGCTTCGGTTTCTCTTGGAGTCTGTGTTGATCGTCTCATATCCTGTTGATTTCTAGGAAAAGTTTTCATTTGGCATTGTATATAAAAAAGTTGAGCCTTCCTGGAATAACTCAACATCTTCTCTTACAATTTGTTAATTCATTTATTTTCCCCATTCTCTTTTATTGTTCGTCGTTATTCTCCCCTGGACTTCTCGATAAAGACGGTGTCATATTACGTAGAACACTGAAGACTGTTTGGAGGCAGGGCTAGTTTTGTACCTTTGACTCAGCTTACTGACACTAATGTCAATGAACACTTCAATTCTTACAAGGAGTTGGCTAAAATTATCTTATGTGATAGTGAATATCCTCTTTGCTCTCAGTTTTTGCCTTGTATTTCTTCGGATAAAACAAGAGGAAAATTCATAAGAATTTGCTCTCATACAACTAAATATAAAACTTTTACCATACCGTACTAAGCACAGGCTTGGTGTGAAGAGAGAGTCAGATGTTAGGAAGGAACTTATAAACTTTTTAAATCAGTAACTGAACTGCAAAGTATAAGCAAAGATTATGAATATTACATGTATTATCTCTGATACTATCTACTTATACTTCATTACGTTTTCACCGAAATTCTATTTATACTGGTTTCTTTATTAATATTTTAAATTATATGTATGTGTGGTGAGAGCTGGCTGTTGTGAGATGAAAAAAACTAAATGCAAAACATGGTGAATGCATTTTACACAGAAAAATACAGGAAGTGAACACTTTTGAGAAAACCGTGATAGATTATAATAGCTTAATGAAATAATAACACTAAGCATTTTAATAAATGACACAAATTCCTTTTCTACACTGAAGTGAAATAGGATCCAGGGACTGTACATATATATATTTTAAAAGACGAGTAATAATAATACTGTAATAGTTTCTGTACATTCTTAGTACTCTTCACTCATGAGAAGTATCCTCATCCAGTATAACGTCAGTGGTACTCTCAGCCCTTGTAGATGGATTTTCTAGTTCAATACCTGGTGGTAGTTGGGCCTGCACTTCTTCTTTTTCTATTGTACTTTCATCGTGTAATACAAAATCTGTATCATAATCTTTATACCATGCTGGTAGACGCCAAGCTCGGGTTATTCGACGAGTAGATGTACTCGCCTCTTTTGAGTCACTAGCTGCGATGTGTTCTTCCCCACCTTGTGCCTTGCGAGTATTGGACTTTATAAGTATGATAGTACGTCTCGTAACATTACCTTTTCTCACCAGCATCCTCATAAACATCACCTTCATCATCACCTATGTCATCATTCCATTCATCAGCGGTCTTTACCTCCTCGTCATCTTTGTATCCATCCATAAGTCGGCTTTTTTTCGACAACTTTAATTTCGGTCTCCTTCGCTTTGTATATGAGTAGCGAGCAGGAGGTAGTTCAAGACCACCATCTTCTCCATCTTCTTCTTGACGTCGATGTTGATCATGATGTCGATCTAACAGCATGATTGAATTTGTTGTGAATTCATATTGACCATAATGGTACATGAGGCGGCCAACTGCTCTTCTTGACTGACGTGCATTACGTTCTTCAGCATGCATGTTGCGGATATGTGTATCTAATTCCCTTTTTACCTCAAATGGTGATTCGCGGTAACGGCAGACGTGACGACGATTGAGCATGAGCTGTTGTTATATGATGATTCAGTCGATTGAAACCAGGAAATCCACGTTCACCACACACTGGACATGATATTATTTGACTGCCTTCGGGAGCTTCAACGTATGTTTTTAGTGATGCCGCGTCACTTACATAAGTATTACATAGTAAACATTGAAATTTAGTTTGAAGAGCACGTACAATCCGACAGCTTCGTGTATGTTTATTCAGATTGCATATACTGTCGAAGGTAACTACACATCCCAAGCATTCTAAAACTAATTGTGTGGAAGACATAATATCAAAGTGCTCACAAGTTTATGTTCTCTTGTCCGCAGGTGAGCAAGATAAATATCATACGATGAAAAGGCTTTATTACACGTATCGCAACGAAATATTTTATCACGATGAATTTGGCGATTCCGATGTGTTTTCATATTGGCTTTTTGTGCAAACTGTTTATTACAAACATCATATACAAAAGGTTTCTTCCCAGTGTGAGCACGTTTATGATGTTCCACGGTTCCGCCATTATTTGTCATGTAGTTACACTGGTCACAATGAAATTTGAAATTAGCAGGATTTCTTTTGGTTAACTTTCTCTGAGAGACAACCAATCAGAAGACTGTGTTTTTCTGCTAACAATAATCTATAATATGTACATAAAAATCTATAAATATGTGTTGATTTCCTGAATAAACGATCTGTTGCCTGGCCCTTGTCTTCTGTTATTACATATGTACATATTTATAAAAGAAGCTAAATTGTTGCAGTATGTATAAAAACGCCGAAAATTCGATTCTGTATAATTATTATTCTTAAAAATAAAGTAATTGTTATAATAGTCATGATTTAGATTTCTCCCGCCCCGCTTATGTAATTCGGTATTTGCTGCTGTTTTTCGGTCATCTGCATTGCCTCCATCCTCTTTATTTTCACCTGAAGCCCTGTACTCGTTGACTGCCTATTCCGCCAACTTGATAGTTTTCTGTTGTAAATCTTCGAGCTTGTGTAATAGGAGACATAAATCATCTGCGAAATCCAGATATTTTAGAGTCTTGTTGTTTATTTTGCTCTCCCAAGAAAGAGAAAGGGTTAGGTGTGGTAAAAGCTACCTCACCCAATAAAAATTCTCACACAGCTGCTGTTAAACTTATTCTTAAAGGTGAGTGTCCTGGAAAAATAATGCATCATTCTGAGGAGTCTAGTCAGTACCCCAGACATTATCAATGAAGTGAGATTTGTGATACTGACATTTTATGTATGCAGTATATTGAAATGATGATTGGGAGAATAATCTAAGGAAGAACAAACGGTACTGTGTTGCAGTTAAACAGGAATCTCGAATAAGGCTTACTTGCCTTGTGGTAACAATCAGGAAGACCTACATTTATCTTGGCGACTAACATTTTTCAACTACTAGATATTGCAAAGGTTGAATACACAGATTGCACATTCACACTCAACGGGAGATCACACAGATGGTCGACCCAGGTTAAATTAACACAAGTAAGCTCTGTGTGAGTAATAGCCGATTTCCAGTTAATATCAGTTTTAGTGAATTTGTTAACGTAGGTAAATTAGCTGGACCTACATCTTATGACTAATTGTTATATGGAAGCAAATTCATAACCACTTACGAATCCAAGCCAATCAGATCAACTATTGACCAAGTAGAAATTACTATACGAAGATTCCACACTTTTTGGTATTTGTCATCAAGACACCTATTCAATAGTGAAGAAACGATTTCCTCCGAGATTTAAAGTTTTTACACACTGGTGAATCCGCTGAATTTCCTATCAAGTTTCCTATCAAGTGTCTCATCAATATCGATCTATTCATCGCTAAACTTCAACCACTGAAGCTGCCTACTCTTGAAATTTTTAGTTGACAGCTTTCGGTAAATTGTGCACTGTAGTTAGATTTAGTGTATCCTACCTACTTGTTACAGAGCCCAGTAAAACGATCGATGAGTGGTTACAATATTTATGGCAAATTTTTATACTACTCATTAGTAGCATACCTAAATGCTGTAAAATATGTCCATATAGTATTTGATGTGATCTGGCTAAAGAGTATGGGTAAGAATAGAAAATAGAAAAAACACTATTCAGAATGAGAAGCATGAATGAAGATTCTCAACGTTTTTTCCAATATCATATAAATGCCCTGAGAAGAATACAAGAAACAATAATGTCACAGAAGAAACTATATGATAGTAAGAATTAGTTTCATCTATTTCTCAGGTGAAAAAAATATATTTGACCTTAAATTTTGAATAAGTCATTATTAATTGTCCAAAGTTTTATTGAGTGCTGCTAGATATAACTACTAAAAAGTGCAAGTATGCGAATTAGTTTTGTACAAAAAACACGATTACCCTATTTAGTCGTTAGGCTAAACAACACTTATGTATTGACGCATACAAAGTCGCCTTTCGACTAAATCAGTTTGAAGCTTACTACAATTTTCACGTTTTCCAGACATATAGGTACACTCAGATGAGTATTTCAGGCTTCATTCTATGCAGTATAAAGTACTTCTCTTAAAATGTTCGCGGAATTTCCAAATCTGTTTGAAAATAATGGATTTTAGGGAACTTGCTTGAAATGCTGTCATTTGTTTGCGAAGTACATATTGGACATACTCAAATGAAATCAGATCAACAAGATGTATGTTGGCTAGACATAGACCGATTCAGAAAAAAGCTATGGAAACGGAGCTCCTAAGGATTAAATAAAACCTATTAAACAATTAACTAACCAAATAGGTTTCTTAAAGTGATCACAAAGTGATGTAAAAAGGTTTTTGAATGTTCATGGGTAATACTTCGTTTCCAGGTACTATCTTATTGAAAGAACTGGAATTCTATGAGATTTCGAGTGTAATAAGCACAAGAATCTCTTTATCTTGAAATAGTACTTAAAAGGTGTAGAGAACAAATCATATTATAACACAGTGACGACGGACTAGCCTCACCTATTTTAATAGCCATTTCTAAGCCTGGCAAAAGAGGAAAAGTTAGTAGTGGACCTAACGACTCTGCCGCCGACAATCAGAAACTTCAATGCTCCGAAGAAACTTTTATGATGTTGAAGCACACACTGGTTACTGTAGGACAGTGGAATGATGCTGTCTGGATCCTTGATGTTGAATAGTCTTCCGGTTAGTTAATGTACCCTACTCTACTATCATCTATCGCAAAATTACAAAGAAATAGCCAAGTTCAGTGATTCTATTTAACATCAAAGCGGATTATAGGCACCTATATTCTCTCATTCTACTACGCCATTTAATATATAGCTAATCAGAATACTGGTAAGCTTATGAAAGCAGTTCATCCTTACAGTCATTCTCAACGAATCGAATTAATCTCCGAAACCCATAAATTCAGCTCTAAAGCTATATACAGTGATAAGCAGATTCCACCAATATCTGATGTTTGTCGAGTAACCATGAAATAAGCTATTTATCCTGCTCTCTTCAACATAACCCAACCATGACCCCTAGTGGGACTGGGGATAAGATTGTAATATCATTTGTGGAATAAATCAGTATGTCTGATAAGTGACTGAGATTAGAAAGTCATCTGTCTATTCTGTTAGGTGAACAATCAAACACTTTTAAATCTAATCACAAATGGTATAAGTTCATTATTCATCGAAGGAATGAGCAACTGTTATTGTAGAACCATTTTAAATTTCATCACGAGTTGACATTCGTTAGGGAACCATTGGAAAACCACCCAGGGAGTACTGGACAGCTGTTTCGTCCTAGTTTGGGATTCTTCATCAGTACGCACCCACTGGGATTCGAAGCCAGGACCTTCTGGTTACAAGGCGAGCTCGTATACCAATGGGAACCGATCCAATGGCCCATGAACTCGCCTTGTAACCAGAAGGTCCTGGCTTCGAATCCCAGTGGGCGCGTACTGATGAAGAGTCCCAAACTAGGATGAAACAGCTGTCCAGTACTCCCTGGGTGGTTTTCCAATGGTTCTCTAACTAATGTCAGCTCATGATGAGATCCTGTAGCCAATCAAATCCCTAAAAACCAACACTTGAACATTTTAAATTTCCCTAACCTAAAATGATCTTTATTTTGGGTAATTTAAACCCAGTAAAATATGCTGTTCAGTAGGCCAACTAGTTAGGAGAGTTGTCTCTCGTAATAATTATATATATATATATATGCGATGAATAAGACATAATCTGCCTAACTTTGTGGCCGAGACAACTGTCCAGCATACGAATGATGAGTGTGCCACCTTCTAGTTTCACTGTTTTTAAGTGAGATGCAGGTGTATTTAGCTAAAAAAAACCTTAAAATGAAATACTCATCTGAGCTTCACCTCTCCATCCACCAAATAGTAATTGAAATGATTTAGCACTTGAAATATTTCAAATAAAACAGTACCAGTCAATAACTAACTAACTAACTAATTAACTAACTAATAAGCAGAGAATATATACTATGAGATTTATACTTATATAAGCAAAATAAATAATACTGGTTGCACCAACTAAACAATAGACTTTAAATACTATAATACTTAGAATCACATCACTTGAAGTTTAAGGACATACATCCTATTTTCTACATCCTTTATGATCGTAGATGTGTACAATTGCCTATCTGTGTGAATGTGTGTAAGGCTGTAGCGAAAGCAAATCAATAAAGTCTGCTTATTATGACTGTGATAACTGATAGGCTATATACATTTATCTATCTGACTTCAATTAGTCAGTTAATCAAATAATCAATCAATAAAAAGGTATCTGATACTGAAGTTAAGGTGTAAGTCTATTGAAAATAGGTTGAAGTTTTGTGTAAGGTTGAAAGCAAAAATAACTGCAGTTATTGTCTTTATTTTATTTGTCAACTAATGATTTATTCGGGGCGAAGATTAATTACTGCATTAAAAATATAATGAGTGCTTTCCATAAGTGTACTTTTGCAGAAAATAAGCATAAAAAAAAGAAAGCCACTAAACGAGGATACTGATCTTAGACTCTTATTTGCAGTCTAATTTCCGATTTACTTTTCCCTGAACTCAAGGTTAACACTGCTTACAAAACAGCATTCACTGTTATATCATCTAAGTAACTGACTCAAGTCGACCGGTGAATGAATTTTGATTAGCTTTTAGCAACGCTAAAGATGAGAATGTGAAGAGAGTTAACGGTTTCTTTTTTATGGATGTAAAAAACCAAGATCTAATCAGCGTAGAAAAATCTCTTTTCCGTGACTTAATTCTCAAACTGTACAATGATAACTATATATATTGAGTCCAC